TCACCGCTCCCCTCGATGGTCCGGCCGGGGCCCGTGTCGCCTGCTCTCATCACCGCCCGATGGATGTCATCATCATGCCGGGCCCAGCGCCGGTTGCTGATGACGCTGCGAGCGTCTGGGTTTGGCCCGAGACATTCGCGCACAGGGGGCTGGTGTGGAGCGAGCGCCGGGTCAGGCCGTGGTGTAGCTGCGGCCTGCTGTTCCACACCCTGCGGCTATAGCGGTGAGTGGATGGAGCAATTCGTCTAGTGCATCCCTGCCCCCTAGTGGGGAGAGAGGCCGCGAGTCGGTGTCGCGATGCGGAGCTCTCCGCTTGTTGAACGGCGACGGTTTCCACCAGCGCCCGGACGTTCCGGTGGACTACCTGCTCCTGTGGGTCGACAGGCTTGGGAAGGCCACGCAGAAGCATCGCCACCGAGGCGATGTTCTGGCCAGCCCGAGCGAACTATGGGGGATCGTTCCCCCCATCGATGATGTTGCGCTGAACCTAGCGAGCGTGACCCCCGGGCACCGCTCACCAGATTACACGCACGGGGCGCAACGTGGTGCGCCGAGCGCGCCGACGTAGGTGGCGGCTAGTTCTGCCGCCTTTGTCGTAGCTCCTCACCGTGCTCCAGCGTACACGCGAGGGCCTCCGCGCGAGGGTCCGGAGAGGTGTGGGTCTATAGAGACTCCGCTACCATCGGTGGCTGTCCCGGAGCATCCACCATGGCGCACTCCCAGGATAGAGGGTGGCTAGGTGCCACGACGTCGCCGATGCTGGAGCGGTCGCTCTCAACCTCGTCATCCATGAGGTCATGGAAAGAGGTAGGAGCATAGCTCGCCATCCCCATGAATTCGGATGTGAGAGGGGGCGACGCCAGCATCCTTCGGAGCCCCCGTGCATACGCGTCCATGGGGGACGCGAGGCCGTAGTGGAACCGATTGCATGACGGTTGCGATAGGGACAACAGGGTCTCTCCGAAGAGTCGGCGGAAAATATAATAAAGCGAGTAAAGAACAGTATGTACGTTACTCACAGTGTGGTTTGAGCCCAACGTAGGCTCAGAGCGAAGCGCAGGTGCCTCATCGTTGAGGTCGCCGGGTGTCTCGGGGCCGACGGAGGGCGCTCCTCCTCCGACGGGCGCTAAGACAAGTGCCTCCTCGCGGAGGCGAAGCACGCCGAGCCGGTCGGCGATGATGTCTAGGCTTCCAAAGAGGAAGGTCTGGGACGTCTCGAAGACGGGAGGAACCTACATCCCAACCGGTGGGAGCACGGGATACTCTAGCGAGCCGAAGCGAGTCGTATCGCTTGAGCCCACCATGCCAAAGACAGCGGAAAGGTGGGCCATCCAATGACCAAAAGCGTGAACGTACGGCGTCCTCCCCACGGACGGCGCCAACTGTCGGTGCAGAAAGTGACCAACACGTAAATATTTGTAGTTTTGCCGTACGTTGTGATCGGATGTGGCCTAGCACTCAATGACACAGGGTTTATACTGGTTCAGGCAACGTGCCCTATGTCCAGTTTGAGTCGGTCGGTGACTTTATTCCTGAGCCTAGGTACTCGAAGTTTGCTGTGGGGTTACAAACGAGATAGAGTAAGATGGGGGGTATCAGAGGTTCGGTCGGACTCCAGACCAAAGGGCCAAGAGTGACGGGAGCCCCGACGTGCGCTAAGTGTTGCTCTGTTTGGATTTAGAGTTCTAGGGCCGGGCAGAGAGAATCAGAATGATCCGTATGTTGTTTGTTGGGATCCTTGGTCGTTTGGATCGATCCTCCTCCTTTTGGAGAGAGTGCATCCCCTTTTATAAATGAAGGGGACGGCCTTACAAGAGAGAGAGAGTGTGTGAGAGAAAGAGTGTATGTGTGCTACCTAGTCTTGTTGCCCACGCCGTCGTGTATAAGACGGTTTGTCGGCGCCCACAACACTATTGGTGTTCGGACGCATGTGGTTGGTTCCACCATCTTCTTCTGGCATGGCCAATGTCGACACCCACCATACTGTAAGTCAAATGTCAGTGCCCACAACACTGTTGGTGTTCCGACATGTCTGGAAGGTTATAAAGTACCCTTCTGACATGACCTGACAGTACTGTCCTGCAGGTGTGCAGGGTACGGTCCTTGATATTACGGTTTGACTGGAGCACCCTGCCTTACTTGCTCCGTCCGTTTCCTGGGTCTTCACCGAGCGGGTGTCCCCGGTTGGTCGTTCCCTAGTCGACTCTGACCTCTCGGTCGGTGAAGAGCTGTAAGCAGAGGTTCGATGTACTCCTGGTCGAAGAAGCGAGTCAGAGTCGGATGCGAGCGTCATCCCTTCTCGGCTAGGCCTTCCGGTCGGAGAGGTGGGTCGGAGTCAGAGGCGAGCGCCGATTCTCCTCGGACATGCCTTCTGGTCTGAAAGGCGGGCTAGAGTTAGAGGTGAGCGCCATCCTTCTTGGCTAGGCCTTCCGGTTAGAGAGGCAGGCCAGAGTCGGAGGCGAGCGCCGGTCCTTCTCGGCTAGGCCTTCCAGTCGGAGAGGTGGGCCGAAGTCGAAAGCGATGGAAGCGAGCGCTGGCCAGGCCTTCCGGTCAGAGAGGCGGGCCGGAGTCAGAAGCAAGCGTCGTTCTTCTTTGGCCAGGCCTTCCCGTCGGAGACTGGATCGCCCTTCTGGCCTGTCGTTAGGTTTTTGGGCCGGCCCAGGAGTTGCACGTCATTCGCAACGTCATCTGTTGGGCCGAGCTTTTGCTAGAAAGCAGGTCCATGAGGGACCCTGGGTTTATGAACCCGACACTTGGCTTGTGGTGCACAAGTGTGAAGCCCAGAGACGGTGGTCAATGGCGAAGGTGAAGGTCAAGCGGGTCCGTGCCGATGGACTGGAATCGGTGAAGGACGAATGTCGGAGGCTTGGACTGAGGGACTGGAGAAGTCATGTGACCGACCGTGGGTGGCTGACACCTGGGATCATCGACAAGTGCAAGAGTACATGGGTGATGAAGATGGCGTCAACTAAGTCAAGGAGGAGGACGATGGTGTCGTGGCACTTGCGGAGGCTGGACAAACATCTACATGGGCGAAGGCATCAAGCTTGGCGGAGGTTGGACACGCGTTGACATCGGTTAGCCACGCCTGGCGAGGCGTTGCAAGGGTTTGTCGGTTTGGTCCTCAAAACCGGTGATGGACAGTTTGGTGGTTTGGGCCTCAAAACCATCGGCGGAGGGTTTGCTGGTTTCGGCCTCAAAACCAGGCGTGGACGGTTTGGTGGTTTGGGCCTCAAAACCATCGATGGCGGGTTTGACCGGTTTGGGCCTCAAAACCGGCAAGTGGCGGATCGACGAACATGTGATGGTATCTTGAAGCTTGCGTCGAGGCGAAGCAAAGTCGAGAAGGCGTTGGGTTTGTTGGATCGACGAGAAAAAACTTGGACGGTTTTACCCATAGAGGGTATTTGGGTTGTGTGCTTCATGTAAGGGTGTTTCTGTTTTTCGACGTACGCCTATATGTACGTGAAGGGGCTGGTTGGGCGGCCATTCTCGAGGTGTCTCTCTCATTTGTGTGGTGTGTGAGAGGAAACTTGGGTGAGATAGAGAGGAGTGGCTCTTGTTCTTGAGCTTTTTTGCTATCCATAGTTTTGTTATAATCCAACATCTTGAGTTTATCCGAGGATCAATTTCGTGCTCTACTTGTTTCTCTTTCCAAATCTGAAGTTATTCTTTTTATGTGATTTTCGGAGCTATTTTTGGGATTTTTCGTTGGTCAGATTTGAGATGATTTAGGGTGCTTTGGTTGATCCGTGACGAGGTAGGACATGTGCTGAACTTATGCTTCCAGTAAATCGAACTATTTTTGCACGAGCTCGATCCAAATTTCGTTTTTGGGGAAAGAACTGTGTTCTTGCACGTGATCTGGATTTCCCAGAGTATGAGGTTGAATCGGGCCATGATCTTCTAGGAGCAGCTCGACAACTTCGTTGTGATTATCTATGCAAAGTTTGGGAATGAACCATGTGGTTTTGATCGAGTTTCATTCAATTTTTGGTGCCGCCCTTTCTCCTCTGTTCGTGGCACTCATGAGCGCTTGATCCCTGTTCGTTGTTTGTGGGGTTCAGATCGGGTGAGTGAGCACCAGCGACGGAGGCAGCGGTGGGGCTAGGGGGGGCTCTAGCCCCCCTACTGATCCTGGGCACGTGGAGCCCCCCTAAGCCCTCTCTTAAAATTTTATGCATATATGTATTAGGTAGGAGGAGCTAAGGTTAAGAGAAGATAAAAAAGCCTCTATTATTTTATCTAGCCTCTCCTAATTTTTTTCTAGCTTCGTCACTGACTGAGCACTGAGCAGACCCATGCCGTAGCAGCGCTACCAACGCCGGTGCTCAGACGCCGTGCGCGCTCTCAAGAGTGGCGCTCGCCCTTGGTCCTCGCGCCCCACTCCCAGGCAGAGCCGACGCCAGTCGCCCAGCAGCCTGCCCTGCTCGAGCATAGTCGTAGCCAGCCAGAGCGGTGCCTGCCCGTGAGGCCTAGGTGGCCTACTCGTACGTGTTTTCTGCTCGGCGGCGTGCCGCACCATGTCACGATCCCGGATAACTAAAGGGTTTTTTTTCCGGCGAACACGCACGACGAAGAGCACGACGGTGCCGTCTCAAGCAGAGAAGCTAGAGGAAGATGGTAGAGAGAGAGGAGATAATTGATTTGTTTATATCTGATGTCCTCTGTTATGTGGCTGCTAGGATTGAGAGGGGGAGGCGGCGATGGAGCTACAGTACCGCGGGTACTGTTCACATGAGGGAGAGAGGGCAGGGACGGCTGGCTCCCAAGGGAAGCCAGCAACTTAATTGTTGCCACGGCTGGCTCCCAAGGGAAGCCAGCAACTTAATTGTTGCTTCTTGCTTGATTATAACTAATACATGGTTCTCTTTTATAGAGATGACTGACTTGACCACTAAGGAAATATCCTAACCGAATCAATCTAACATATATCTTTCCTAACAAACCAAACCACATATCTCTTTCCTAACAAACAAACAATCTAATCTATTCACGCGCTACAGTACCGCGTCGCTACAGTACCGCGTGGGCCCCTGAGCCGGTTCTACTTGCCATAACACTACTCCACCCCTCGAAAACAGCTCGTCCTCGAGCTGTGGCGATTGCTGGAGCAGAAGACCTTGCGGTCCAAAGAAGATCGCCATGGCAGACCTGCTTCCTCCTCGAGGTGCTAAACTTGGCTGCTCCATCTGATCTACGTGGAATCGAATCCGCTCGGATCGAATCCATGGAGCGTCTGCACGTGGAGTCCATGGTGCCCTCCACGAGCAGCCACCCCCGCTATGGGTGCAGCCGAGCGGGGTTGTGCTGGAGGCGTACTCCAAGCGATCGATGCAGCTTTGAAGGCCTACTGCTGAGCCGGCGGAGAATAAGCGCATGTAAACAGCCACGGCCTTGCTCGAGGGATCGGTGTTGTGGCTCGTAGAGGCAGCGACAAAGGCACCATGTTCGCCAATGTCGGTGCATGGATGATCGCCTGCATTGGTGACACTAGTGCTGGCGGGGTTGTTGGTGAAGCTGGTGATGAGACTGTCGGAGTTATGGCAGCCGGGACCTTCATTGGTGATGTGGCGAACTCCAACGGGGCCTGTGCGGCGGTCGAGGGCGCCGCGCCCGTGCTGTCAATCGAGGGCAACACGGCGGAGAGCGTCGGCATCAAGCTGCCGCCATGGAACAGGGGGCCGTCCACCCTGCCGTAGAAGCCGCCCGGAGCCGGGGCGCCGTCAGGCGCCAAGACAGCCCCGGTGGCCGGAAGCGGCGGTAGGTGCGGCTGGGTACTAGGCGCCGTGTAGATGGGTTTCGATGAACCGGCGATCCAAGCCAGAAGCGGTGACGGCGACGGTGGGAACTTGATCTGCTGGATGGGAACGCCCTGGAACGGCAGTGGCACGGCTGGGAACGAGGTCATCACAGTCCCGTCGTAGGGCATCCTATACTGGTACGAGATGACCGGCGCCGTGATCGCGGCGAGGAAGGCCCTGATGCCCGCCACGGCCTGTCGTAATTCTAGGATTGCGGCCGTCATCTGCTCCGGTGAGGACGAGGCGGGCGGCGAGGCAGACGACAACACGGGCGGCGAGGCGTGATCGCCCCGAGGGCGCCAATGGCGCCCAATGCGGCAATGCAACATATATGTGGCGGCAAAGCCGCCGATGAAGCCGGTGGCGGCAGGTGGACATGATCGAACCAGAGATCTCGATACCGCAGTTGTTATGTGGTACGCTAGGATTGAGAGGAGAGGCGGCGATGGAGCTCACAGATGCCCTGGGGTGCTGTTCACACGAGGGAGAGAGGGCGGGGACGGTGGCTCCCAAGGGAAGCCAACAACAATTGTTGCTTCTTACTTGATTATAAGCGTCTGATACAGGGTTCTCTTTTATAGAGATGACTGACTTGACCCCTAAGGAAATATCCTAACCGAATCAATCTAACATATATCTTTCCTAACAAACCAAACCACATATCTCTTTCCTAACAAACCAAACAATCTAATCTTCCGGTTGTAGGAAACAAAGACAATAGAATTCAGCCTCTTATGCAACAATCGATTCCTTTTCTTTGTGTGGATCTACAAAACCAGAAACACAATTGCAACCAAAAAATGAATAAACTGCTTGCTGAAATATTGGTAAGGGCAGCAAGCAAATGAGGAAATACTCACAGATTTAAATTTGCTCCAATTTCGCTCACAGCCAGATGATGAAGCACAAAGACTAACCACACGCCTTGCAAACCTTTGTAGCTCAATAGCACGGCCACCATAGGAACGCCACCAATCAACTAGAGCAAACAAATGAAACAATATGTTAGGAGCCAGGACAAAAAATGCTAGCTGGAATCAAATTGATGTGATGTACACTTGCTGAAATTAAAATGGAAATGAAACACTTACGAGGACTCATTGACTCAAGGTTTTGAATGGCCATCTTATTTGAAAAAGCATCTCCTCTAAAATATTCATAATCCATGGCTTGAGCATTGATCTTGCTTCTAGTTTCCTCATCCTCCACCATTCTTGAAAGCACATCAAGAAAGCAACCTCTTAGCTGTCCAACAGTTGCATCATCATCCTTTTTTAGGAGAGGATGTAGCTTCCCTGGGTTCAAGTACAGTGCAGCCCCATACAATGGATGATCCATTTGTTTCTCCCAACGTCGCTCAATTATTCCCATAATCTTCTTGAGCAAAGATTTCTTGGATTGGATAGCAAAGCTTTGATTGATCCTCTCCTTTGCATGGTTCATTAGAGCTTGAACCTCCGGCATTGCTACCTTCTCATCTCCATCAACCACCCTAAGCACAATAAGGAGTGGGGCTGAAGCTCTAAGGCAATCTTCCACTGAATTCCAAAACTGTGTAGAGAGCACAATGTCATGCACATCTAGACCAGCCTTAGTTTTTGCCAATTTGTTCCCAGTCCATGCTTCACTAACCATTAAAGACTTCAAAGCATCCTTGTGCTTGTACAAGCTCTTCAAAGTCAAAAAAGCCGTTGCAAAAGCGTGTGGTCACTGCCTCACAAGGTCACCCCACCCTGCTTTCTCCTCATGGCACTAAGGATCCTCCCATGTCTATAGATGAAAGTTGTCACACGCCTTGCACGTGTAATAGGTTTCTTGAATTCCGACAAGTTCCCTATATCTTCTAACATGAGATCCAAGCAATGCGCAGCACATGGACTCCAAAATATTGTAGGAATCTGTCCCATGAGAATCTTGCTTGCGCACCTTGAAGTTAGCACCATTATCTCTGTGACAACTTGAACAACCTTGTCCTTCCCAATCTCCTCAACCTTCTTCTCTAGCAAACCAGCAAGCATGTATGCATCATGTACTTCACTTGATGCATCAATAGACTCCAAGAAGTAAGTCCCCTCCGGGTCACATTTACAAGGAAGTTAATTAAGTGGCGTCCCTCCTATCGGACCATCCATCGATGTGAGTGTGCAGCCATAATGTTTTCATGCTCTCTCATGCTCCTCTCTCATGGTACTTGTTGACTTCTTTGCTTCTTGAAGTAATGGATCCCCAAGTTGATATGGTGTTGGAGGCTTGTACCGAACCATATTGTCTTTGTGGCCTCAAGCTGCAATCTGAAATTGCCTTACTACTGCTTTGCATTAAAAGGTATGCCACATTCATAGAAGAACAAGGCCCATTGTGTATCCACATAATGCTTCTCTTCCTTGGTTTTTGTCTTTGGACACAATTGTGGGGTGATAAGACCTGAAAGTCTCTCATCTACTATTTCTTCCGGTGTTTTTTGAAGCATCTCAACTACTGATTTGTTTGCCTTTCCCTCCGGTTTAGTCTTGTTGCCAACAACCATGAATTGTAAGGATGCTTGCCTCTTTTTGTCAGCTTGTCCCCTGAACTAGGTCAGATCTGCAAAGAAATTTCATTTGCAGGAGCCTCATTTGCTTATACCTCCACCACTTCATCATCTAGAACCAATGGTCTTTTCCTCTTGTTTGCATCCAAGTAATCTGCCATCTCCCTCCTAACTTCAGTGCTGACACCTGAACATAGTTTTGCATCTCCATAACCTCCTGCCAAATGTTGCTTCAACCTTTTAATCCCTCCACGAACTGAGCCGCCACATAAGGTGCATGCCACCTCATCTCTATTTTGTAGGTTCGGCCAATAGCCAAACCTCCATGCTGGATCTTTTGACCTTTGCGGCTTCCGAGCTGGATCATTCTTGGGATCATATCCGCTGACGATTGATGGTGGACATGACATGGTTCCTGCTGCATAATTTTTATAAACCAAATAAGTTCAGACTTCAGAGAATGGCAAAGTGTAGGAATCAGTAAACTACCAATTTAATTAGCATAAAAGGCAGTGCAATTAGCATATAGCATAAAAGAGCACCCTCCAGCCTAATAAACAGAGCAGCAGCAGCAGCTAAAACAGAGCACAGAGCAAGAGCACCCTCTAGCCTAATAAACAAATCAAATTAGCATAAAAGGCAGTGCAATTAGCATATAAAACAGAGCAACAACAACTAATGTACTGTTCCATTTAGCATCTATAAATCAAAGCACAAGTAGACAAAGCAACAACTATACCCATGTGCTATCTCTGCTTTCTGAAAGCGGGGGACAGACCGCATGCAAGCAAGCTCCTTTCTAAAAGCAAACAAAGCGGGGGACAAAGAAGACATGCCACATGCAAGCTTTGGACCTTTTAAGAGAAAAACAAAAAAGCGGGGACAAAGAAAGACACGCCACATGCAAGCTTTGGACCTTTTTAGAGAAACAGAGAGAGAGGCGGCGAGGATACCTGGTCCAGGTGGAGGGTCGCTGAAGGTTGAGCGGAGCCGGGCACCGTGAAGCCATCCTAGGTCCGCGAAGAAGCTAGTCGTCCCGCCCTCCCCGGTTCGTCTGGAGACGGACGCACGGGTCCGCCTGAGGAAGCGGAAGCGGAAGACGGCAGGCAGCGGACGCCTGGAGGACTCATGCGGCTGGCGGGCGACGCGAGAGGATGAGCGGGACTGGCCGCATGAGTGGGGAAGAAACTCCAGCAGGTCTCCGCTCCTCTCTCTTCTCAATCCCCTATCTCTCACAATCCCTCTCTATTCCCGCACAATTTCCTCTATCTTGCTGCCTGCCAGAAAAGCGACGGAGGCGGGAGAGAAGTCCCGCGGGAGCGATTTCCCGCCTTGGGTCCCTTCCCTTTTCCATGCGCGGCTGCTCACGAGTATGGCGACCGCCTCAGGCCGGTTGGCGACGCCCCAGACGCCTAACGAGAAAGGCGGACGCCTTAGACGCCGAGGCGGACGCCATACGGCTCCTGGCTAGGCGACCCCCGACGCCCAGACATTTTCGTCGCCTGGACGCCTAGTCGTCGCCTAGGCGACGCCTTTAAAACAATGCTTGTAAATGCTTGAAACTGAATGACAGGAACTGTTGGCAGAACAAATGTAGAAGCAAACCATTCACCATGTTTTGTACTTGGAGGTTCCCAAAGGAGTCGTTTCCTACTATAGGCCATCATGACGACAAGTTAAGGATCCTCAATCATCAAGTTGTAGAAGTGAAACCTCACTGACTGCAAACAATTCACTGTCTTACTGATGCATGTAAATATCCTTGACCTTGCACTTGTGTACTCCACACGCTTGATGACACTATGATGTGATAGTGCAGATGGAGTAAACGAGCAGTCCTTATCTCTAGCTTCTTGTTGATCTGTAATCTGTATGTGGCATAACCTCAGAGAGCTGCAACAAAAATACTCCATGCACAGATTATCTGAAATCTGCTTTTCATGCTCCAGTAAGAGGTAACCAAGGAAATATGCTTACTCCGTAATAGGAAAATATGGTTCTTGGTGTATTCAACCCAGTAAAGAATCGGTTCGGCATCAATCTGATTTACTCCAGGTAACTTTCTGACTTTGGAGGCACATAGCAAAATAAATTTGCCATCAAAATCTGATGTGACTGTCCATTTTCTGAATATGCACAGAGTGACCAACATCCCAAGAAACAGAAGTATTTTTGTGGAATAGAATCAGTTCAGATATTCTTGAACTTTCATATAGATGGTTGGCAAATTTGAAGACAGCCCTCTCTTCAGGACATAGTGGCCCACGAAGGATGTGACGACCAAAATAGTGCACATGGGTCTTGATAACATTCAGTTGTTGGCCATTGTAGCACAGATTTTATTCCGGTAAGCCCCAAAAACATTGCAACCATGGTTCCGCTGCTCTGCAGATTACGTAACCGTGCAAGAAATTTCCAGGTGATAACCTTGCATACTGAAGATGCCCATGGTGGTTTCTAGAACCGTCGATAACACCTCTTCCTTGATAGGGTACTAATTGGAGAAATGATCCTTGGTATAATGGAATCATGATGCAGCCCCAGATATATAATATACAAGCACTGACCTATTACTTCCCCACAAAAAATTCTTGTACTGAACATCCCAAAATTTCAACTTAGCAAACACTGGCCACCAGAACAAATGAGGCACCGTGGAAGTCCTGATCCTGAGGCTGGCAATATAGGGTCTATTACTAAAGATGTATACCATAGATATCCATGGGGTTTCCACTGCACTGGCTGATGATAGCAATGACTAGAATGTAGCAATAGAGAAGCATACTGACTAAAATTGAATAGCAGCATATAACTGTTTGTGTATGATATCACAGTTTTCAGTTGATATAAACCATCACTAGCGCAGGAGCACAAAGTCGGCAATAGAGTTATGGAGTCCAGAGCCCTACCACTCACTTCTTGCCACATTGATAATGTTTGTACTGTTGTGAAGAAAATAGCAAGCACTAATGCTGATGAATTTTGCAAATGCACAACAGATACAAACTCGCGTAAAGATGGCCATGGTATTGACTTGAGTAGACCATCAGGTCCAACCGCCTTGGCTGCCTCAATAGCGCATCTATCTGACCACTACTAAAGGGATGCCCCGAATGTAAGCATAACAGGTAGGTGTCTGTGAGCAAGGAGTTACTGTCTTTCAGAGGAGGTGGCCATGGTCGCTTGTCAACCAAGGTAGCAGGTAATGGTGCTGACATCTCTGGACTCATATTGGTCATTCCAGCAAACACCTTAGGGGCCTCCTGAACGTTGGCAATCACTGTCCACTTGCCCCTTCTACTCTTCCCACGGTCAAACACACAAGAAGCGACAGAACACACTCGATGATTCAAAGGAAGTGGCCAGCACACCAATAAGTAAAAGCATGTGCCATCATCAACTAAGAAAGGACAGAGGCTGGTGGATGTCACCTTTAACACCTGGTGTGCATACTGAAACATGACAACTGCTGGAGCTGAAACTTGTTTTGAGAGCGTGTGCGTCGCTGAGGATGGAGGCACAGTTGAGATGGTGTTGACGCTGCTCCCAGAAATCATCATGTTGATGCTGCGGCAGAGGCGACCTATCGAACACCTGGTGGGTGAAGTGTTGATGGCATTGTCCTCTGTGCTTGAGATAGCTGATGCTGGTGTGGGCAGTGGCATGACGGTCATTGCTAGTTGCACGATGGTTGATGTCGCGGTCGTCGAAGAGGATGTTGGTGCCGTTGGTGTGGAGGACCAACGCTGAACGTCGAGGGTGGCCACGGTCGGTGAAGTGGTCGAAGGTGTGGTGGCTCGGGGATGAGCAGCGGGGATGACCGCGGCGTGCCTGCTGCTGAAGGACCACGTGACCGCGCACTTGTCGATGGCACCGAGCGTCGTGGTGGTGGCGGATCTGGGCGCTGGAAGCAGAGCAGTCGGTGTCGACCAGGAGGTCGGTGCAGCGGTGGGTTCGGCTGGCGCATCGATGGCACCGAGCATGGTGGTGGTGGTGGTGTAGGCGCTGCAGTCCGTGCCGGGGTGGATGGTGGCGCCGCAACTACCGGCGCAGCAGTCGGAGTCGAGGACGCCGGTGAAGTGGGCGAAGACGAGGGCGTGGACGACCGTGTCGCAGATGCGAGGGTCTTGAGGGTGCTACACATCCCCGCGTTCGCTTCCTCCATCATCAGCAACAGGCGATGCATCTGCGCCTCGAGCCCGACGATGGCGGAGACGGACAGTGTAGATCCGGCCCTACCAAGACACCTAGTAGCAGATCCACACGATCTCGACGAGCACGGCGATTTCCTCGATCGATGGCTCCGGTACCAAATGTCACGATCCTGGATAACTAAGGGTTTTGCCGGCGAACACGCACGGCGAAGAGCACGGTGGTGCCGTCTCAAGCAGAGAAGCTAGGAGGAAGACGTTAGAAAGAAAGAATAATTGATTTGTTCATATCTGATGTCCTCGTTCACTTAGACATGGTGTGTGGGAATATATATATATATATATATATATATATATATATATATATATATATATATATATATACCCCTTTCCCTATTGGTATAAAAAAAATAAAAGTTATTATATTTTGAATTTAAGGGATTTACTTATATTGTCAAGTTTGTCAGTACAATCTTAGTCAAATAATTTACTAATAATGAAAGATTTAGACAGTCAGATTCAATATTATGAAAAAAATTAAGTATGATTCATGATGAATATAAAACCTCTATGACATACAAATGGTCTGCCATAAGAGAAAAAGAACTATTCTTTAGACGAGAAATATGTAGACTTGATAATATCAAGAAAGACATAGAACTAAAGAATAAATATTTTAAAACACTGCTCTGTGATAAAGCAACAGTGTGCAGATGAGTTAAAACTAAAGACAAAGAGACTCATAAAGTTAAAGAAGTTGGGCTCCTGGCTGCAAATAATATTAAATACATTATCTCGCCCTTAGTGAAGAAGAGCAATGGGAGATTAATAATAAGCTTTTATTAGAAAGTTATGAAGAAGAAGAAGAAAATAATGCTGAGAGTTACCAAGATTTTATAGACTCTTTAGATGATGAAGAGTTACTCAATCTTGATAATACTATAGAAGGGTTAGATATAATATCTGAAGATATTAATAGTTCAAAAGGAATAAAAATAGAATTAATGAATCAAGAAGACTGTGAACATGATTGGATAAAAGGTAGAGGTGATTATAATATAAAATGTACTTTTTATATTTACCCTAGTCAAGAAAAGCAGACTTACATGTAGTAAATGTTTTGGTAAAGCAAGCATGTGCTTCATGTCTAAAATTAATAACCAAAAATGGAGGCATAGAAGAGATCTAGAACGTGATAATAAGATAAACTACTAATAAGTAGAGTCGAAATTTGGAGAATAGAATAAATAGAATAGAAAACAAAAGAATTAGAAAGAGATGAACTAAGGAATAAAATAGAGCCTAACTCTAACTGACTTAAATAAGATCCCCAAGAAAATGAAAGAGGCATGAGTAGATAAAATAGACGATCAAAAGCCATATCAAATAGAAAAAATGATAAAGCTATACAATTAAAAGATGCCATAATAAACTTTGGTAGCAAATATATAGTTAAATTACCATTTAAAGAGATCATAGGAATAAGAGTACCTGTAAAAGTAAAATTAACGCCTAATATCTCCTATAAAATATTAGCGTTAGTAGAACCTAAGGAAGGAGTTGTACAAAAAATATTATACATGATAAATATTTTGTAAAATGTCGAGAGATAGTTCATACAATAGATCAAGATAAAAGCGAAATATCTCTTGATATGTCGGGAATAAAAAGGTTCATAATCAACTAGCTTATGATGTTGAGGTACAAATAAATAACACAAAATATATAATGGATGAAATTACAATAAGAGATTTGTCTATGATACATGATGATATGATATTAGGATTAAGATTTTTCCAATTCTCTTTACAAACAACAATCATACATTTTGATGTCCAACTCTATAACATTTATTCCTTATCAACGACAACATTCCATATATAAAAGTAAGAAAAAGTCTAATCCGAAAAATAATAACCTAGAACTCCAAGGATCGATTGAAAATGTTTAACGATGATTATATAGATAAAGAGTTAGGTGAATGTATAGAAGAATTTCATATAGCAAATTCATGCATAGAATGTAGTCGATTATAATATTGTCATTATTATTAATGGCACCTAATTGTTATAGAGATATAAAATCTAAAAATGGATATAGATAAAATTATAACAAGATTAGAAGATATTAGAGATAATTGGAGAAATACCAATGAAGCATTGGGACAAGAATTGTTATATATTATGTAAAATTAACATAATAAATCCTGTTTTCAAAGGATATAATTAAGACAAGTCCTATAAAGAAGACAACACCTAAAGATATAGAAAAGATTTTAAAATGCATAGGTGGAAGAATTACTAAAATTAGGAGCTATAAGAGATGAGAGAGAAAGTCCTCATAGATCGAGAGATTTATAGTTAGAAATCATCTTTGAAATAGCTAGAAGGAAAGTCAAGAATGGTTATTAATTATAAAAGACTAAATGATAATACTATAGATGATGACATATAATATCCCGATAAATAAAGCAAGAATGGATAAATAGACATATGCTACCCAAATAAAGCAAATGATGATTTTCTGAAATGGTGGCATAAGAGAGCACATACTAAGGATGAGTAATTTGGCATTCAAGCTAAAACCAATGGATCTGGCTCTCAAGGAAGAGTTCCTTATCCATCTGATTTTTGCTTCCTTGCCAAAGAAATTTGACACTTTTATTGTCAACTACAGCATACAGCCCAAGAAGTGAGACTTAGAGAGGCTCATGGCTATGTGTGTGCAAGGGGAGGAGAGAATAAAAGCTACCAATGGTGGCACTATCAATTATGTGAAAGACAATAAGAAAAAGAATAATAATGCTAACTTATCCTCAAAGTCAAAGGGAAAGGGTCTCATGCTGCATCAACCTCAGCAGAACAAGTTCATAGTAGAGAAAGACCAGTATCTCTATTGCAAGAAGACGGGACATTATAAGAAAGATTGTCCCGATTACTTAAAGATGATCACGGCAAAGAAAGGTGAGAACATTATTACATTCATAAATGAATCCCTGTATGTACAATATTCGAAATCTACTTGGTGGATTGACTCAGGTGCAACTGTTCATGTTGCTAATTCTTTACAGGGATTCCGTTCGACGAGGACTACGCAAAGAAGAGAAAGACACGTTAAAGTTGCAAATGGAGTCCGAGCAGATGTTGAAGCTGTTGGCGATCTTTCTCTAGAGCTTGCTGATGGCTTCACACTTTTACTTAGAGATGTACTTTATGTTCCCTCTTTATAGAGAAACTTAATTAGTGTTTCATGCTTGGACAATGATGAGTATGATTGTCATTTTGGAAATGGCAAATGTAAGATAACATTTAATAATGCATGTGTTGGTCTTGCTATCTTACAAAATGAGCTTTATTTGTTATCACTACGTGATGATGTGAATGTTGTATGCGATGATGGGAACGTTGCGTGCGACAATGAGAATGTATCCTCGTCCGCGGATGTAAACAAAAAACGAAAGAGAGCTCACGATGCGTCATCGAAATTATGGCACTGTCGTTTAGGCCATATTTCGAGGGGAAGAATATAAATATTAGTTAAGAATGATATTCTTCCTCCATTAGAGTTCTCAGATTTAGAACAATACAGAGAATGCATAAAAAGAAAGTATGTAAAAAAAATAAGAAAGATGACAAATGAAGGGCAGGAATTTTATAGATTATTCACACAGACATCTGTGGTCTGTTTCCTGTAAAGAGTGTGGATGGTTATGATTCGTTCATAACATTCACAGATGATTACTCTCGTTATGGCTATATTTATCCAATCAAAGAAAAAACAGAAGCATTTGATAAATTTAAGATATTTAAGGCAGAAATTGAAAACCAATACAATTTAAAGATTAAGATAGTTAGGTCCGACTGTGGGGGGAGTACTACGGTCGGCATACCCATATGGCCAAGTTCCTAGACCTTTTGCAAGGTTCTTACAGGAGAATGGCATAGTAGCCCAGTATTCAACACCGGGCGAACCTCAGCAGAATGGACTAACTGAAAGACGCAATCGTACCCTGATGGATATGGTGCGCAGTATGATAAGTTATTCCACATTACCGTTGAGCCTATGGATGGAGGCGTTAAATACCGTCATTCATATTCTCAATAGAGTACCAAGTAAGTCGATGCCCAAAACACCGTATGAGTTGTGCATAGAAAATGTACCTTTACTAAACCACTTACGTGTGTGGAGGAGTCCTGCTGAGGCTAAAGTATTTAACCCAAATATTGGCAAGCTAGATCCCAAAATAGTAGGTTACCATTTCATTGGCTACCCAGAAAAGTCAAAAGGTTTCCGTTTCTACTGTCCAGACAGACATACAAAGTTTGTGGAAATAAGACACGCTGTCTTCCTAGAGGATGAAATGATGAGGGGGAGCATGGTAGCTCGAGAAATTGACCTTGAAGAGAAGCGGGTCTATGCGCCCACTCCGATGATTCATGAGCCATTTTTCTCGTTACCTGTTGGTGTTGCACCGACAGTGCAAGATACTATGGTGCCAGCACCTGTTGTTATTCCGTCTGTGGCAACAATAAATGACGATGAGGAACCTATTCTTCAGGATTCTGTAGAACCTATTGCCACACATGAGGGGGAGCAACAACAGCCTCAAACAGAAGATGTGCCAAATATGAAGGCCCCTAGAAGGTCTCAAATAGTTAGAAAATCAGCAATTCCTGCTGACTATGAAGTATACAACACTGAGGAATTTCAAATGGAGGATGATCCCACCTCATTTGAAGAAGCCATGAGAAGTGATCATTCATCAAAGTGTCTTGAGGCCATGGAAGATGAAATGAAATCTATGAATGCCAATAAAGTTTGGGACTTAGAAATAATTTCTAAAGGAGCCAAAACAGTAGGCTGTAAATGGGTCTACAAAATAAAACTTGACTCTCAAGGGAATATAGAGAGATATAAAGCACGACTTGTGGCAAAAGGCTTTACGCAAAGAGAAGGGATTGATTACAATGAGATATTTTCTTCAGTCTCATGTAAGGATTCCTTCATAATCATAATGGCATTAGTGGGACATTACGATTTAGAATTACATCAGATGGATGTAAAGACGACATTTCTCAACGAGGACTTGGAGAAAAATATTTACATGGCACAACCGAAAGGTTTTGTCAAGGAAGGAAAAGAATGAATGGGATGCCACCTAAAGAAATCCATTTATGGATTAAAACAAGTTTCAAGACAGTGGTACTTGAAATTTGATCAGACAATAAGAAATTTTGGGTTTAAAGAGAATATTGAGGACAATTGTGTCTATACAAAGTTTAAGAATGAGAAGTTTATCTTCCTTGTCCTATATGTGGATGATATCTTACTTGCTAATATTGATGTCAGTCTACTACTGGAGACAAAGAAGTTTTTATCCTCAAAATTTGATATGAAAGATCTTGGTGAAGCTTCGTTCGTTCAAGAGATCGAGATTCACCGAGATAGAAGTAAAGGGGTATTAGGACTGTCACAAAAGCCATACATAGAAAAGATTTTAAAGAAATTCAGTATGCACAAATATAGTCCCTCACCTGCTCTTATAGTCAAGGGCGACATATATGAGGATTTTTAATGCCCTAGGAATCAGTATGAGATCGATCGAATGAAAATGGTTTCATATGCTTCAGCTGTCGGAAGCTTGCAATACGCCCAAGTATGTACGCGCCCTGACTTGGCATTTGTTACCAGGTTACTTGGCAGATTCCAGAGCAATTCTAGAACAGAACACTGGAAATTAGTAAAGAAAGTCTTGTGTTATTTACAAGAAACGAAAAGCCTCATGATGACGTATAGAAAATCAGATTCACTCCATATAGTAGGATATTCAGATTCTGATTATGCGGGATACGATAGAAAATTCACGTCTGGATATGTATTCACTCTCGCAGGGGGAGCTATTTCATGGAAAAGCTCAAAACAAACCGTCACTACATCATCCACAATGTATGCCGAGTTTGCAGCGTATTATGAGTCAACGGGGCAGGTGAACTGGCTAAAGAAGTTCATACCCGCTTTGAAGGTGGTTGACGACATCTATAAACCACTTAAGTTATACTACGATAATAATCCGGCAGTACAGTATGCTCGCAACAATAAGTCAAGTGGTGCTGCCAAACACATTGACATAAAGTATTATGTTGTGAAAGATAAAGTCCGAAATCATGTCATAAGTCTTGAGCATATAAGTACCGAAAAGATGCTCGGGGATCCGCTTACAAAAGGCTTACCACCCAACGTGTTCAGAGAACATATAGCCGGCATGGGTTTAAGAGAAAACCTATAATTCCTGGACAAAAGAAGGCCCAAAGTTAAGTATCTATTTCAGAACAGAGTAGTGTATTGTAGCTGTTAAATCTATCGGCAATTGACCGTGACGATGAAACATGCTCTATGCGTTAATCTGTAATGAAATGAACAAAAGTAAATGATATGAAATTGAAAAATGATAGGAGATCAAGGGGGAGATTGTTAGACTGATCTCTAATCTCAAACTGAGCCCAACGGCCCAATTGGACTTTAGTTCCGCGCCCTGATCGGGGGCGCCCAGCCCACTATGGCTGGAGGGCCCCTGTCACACTGCGCAATAAATAGAGGTGGGGACCGGCGGCTCTGAGTACGAGGTTCGCCTGAGCCGAGCTCCCCACTGAAAAACCCTAACCCGATCTAGTGAGGGGCGCAGCCAGTGACGGGAAGCACCTCCACCACTGCACTGCGCCGCCATCGATCTTCACCACCGGTCGCCACCGCTCATCACCATCACCGTCTTCACCGACCGTCGCTGCCCTCGCGCAAATACCGACACAAGGACCATGGCCAACGCCGCTGGATCGAAGCCCTACGATGGTCGGTAACCTAGCACTACTCTCTATAATCTCTGTCTAGTTCACGTTCTAGGACATGTTATTCATTTACAAAATGTACCCGGCTAGATCTATGACTATGTGATCCTAAGATATCTTAACATTAACAACTGCAGCTAAGTTTTTTTTTTATTTTTTTTTAATTTGTAGCGTTGCAGTTGCAGGCCACAATCGGCTGGTCATTCGCAGTTGCATGGCACGATCCCGTCCGAAGTTTTAGTGGATCGCAACTTCGTCACGCGTGCGTGAGGGCTGATCTGGTCTCACTTGGACGGTGGTGATGCGGTGCTGCACGGGTCTCCATCTACGGCATGCATGCATAGAATTTTTTTTCGCATTTCAGTACTTAGCTTTGCCCAACAGCTTTGTTAACCTGTAGTTCAGAGCTCAACAGTCCACACAAGTCGGAACTCCGGTAAAATCGAATGGAAACTCGACCTTTTCTGCCGCAGTCATGAACAGGCTGCCGTGTGGCGTGTGGCTCGCACAAGCGATATGCCGATATTGATCCCAAAACCGTGGCGCGCATCCTATAAATACCGCTTCCGACCCCAAGCTCGTGGCATCCACGCTCCGATAGCCATCTCCATTTGCAACCGCTCCTCCTTTTCCCATCACATCGCTCCCTGCAGCTCGATCCGCGCTTCCGTTCCATCCATGGCTCCCAACCTCAGCTCCGACGCCCCTAAGTTCCCTTCCAAGCCGAAACACGGAGAGGCCGACGTCGAGGTGGCGGCGGCGGCCCACGGCGTCGACTACCTGGCCCGCGCGCAGTGGCTCCGCGCCGCCGTCCTGGGCGCCAACGACGGGCTGGTGTCCGTGGCGTCCCTCATGATCGGCGTGGGCGCCGTCAACGACGGCGCGCGGGAGATGCTGGTGTCGGGCCTGGCGGGGCTCGTGGCCGGCGCCTGCAGCATGGCCGTCGGCGAGTTCGTGTCCGTCTACGCGCAGTACGACATCGAGGTGGCGCACTCGGAGCGCGGCGGCAGCGACGACAGCAGCAGCAGCAGCGAAGTTGGCCGCGGCGGAGGCGGAGACGAGGAGAGGCTGCCGAGCCCGACGAAGGCCGCGGCCGCGTCGGCGCTGGCGTTCGCGGTGGGCGCGGCGCTGCCGCTGCTGTCGGGGGCCTTCGTGCGCCCCTGGGCGGTCAGGGTGGCGGCGGTGTGCGCGGCCACCAGCCTGGGCCTGGCCGGGTTCGGCGCGGCGGGCGCGTACCTGGGCGGCGCCAACATCGTCCGCTCCGGGCTCCGCGTGCTCCTGGGTGGCTGGCTGGCCATGGCGGCCACGTTCGCGATCCTCAGGCTCTTCAGCTTGGCGCTCAAGACGCACGTCGCGTTCGCATAAATCACATGTGTCCACGGTGTTTGATTCGAGTAAACAATAAGTGATCGCTATACGACGACGGGCACATGATGGAGTCTGGTGGTATCGCCTGTCACGCACTTTGCAATACATCGATCACATCATTATAGTTCCACGGAGTAGAGAGAGCTAGTATAATAACGTGTCCATGGTCGGACTCGGAAATCATAGTGGCAATGAACTGGTTTCTGTGTATATTGCAGCTCATGTCTTCTTCATTTCTTTTCTTTTCTGATGAACCGGATTGGAATGTCCCATTGAGCTGCAATTTGTTTCGTGAACGAGCTGAACAGTCTAGTCAGAAACAACGGGGGCTGTTTGGTTGACGTCTATCTCCTACCCAGCCACCCAGGTTCCACAGTGCCATCGTAGAGATGTTTGGTAACCTTTTTAGCCCATTAGCCTAACCTGCCATGAGCACCGACCATGCCCCAGCCTGGCTACCTGGGAACGCGGTGGAATATCGTTTCCCACTAGCCACCTTGGCTAGCACCTCAATTCACCTCTGGTGCGTCACCCGCCTCCGCCCTATACATGCCGGCCGTCGAGCTCCCCTCCCCATCCCACCTCGCCCCTCTTTCCTCGCTCGCCTTCACCCCAGCCATGCCAGCCGCAGCACTCCCCACCGCCGGCCACCATCCTCCCCACCTGCTGGGCCCCGTGCCTCCGCACGATGCCTGCCCCACGCCTCCGCCAGATCCCGCCGGGCGTTACGAGCGCTCGAGATTCACCGGCTGTGGGCTCGAGATCCGCCTCCTCCCCGGCAGACACGTAATTTCTGTAAGAAACATAGTTTTTTTAATTTGTACAAAATAATATTTCAGGGTTTGAAATGAAAAGGATACGTCCAAACGAAAGGGCCTTTTATAAGAAAAAGACAAAGTATGACAGACAGGTACTTATTCCTTGTCATACTATTTTTCTTACTTTCAACCTAAAATAAATTAAGAAGATTTATATATTATACTGTGCCTATATAACAAGCGTTTTCTTTTAGGAAGGAACAAATGATGAACACGAAGAACGTGAGCAAGAAAATAAAGTGAAGAAACAACGCTAGCTCACAAGGATGGAGACAATACTAAGGTATAATATTCTCTGATCTTAAGAATTTATTTGCCCGTACCATTTAAAACATATTAAACTGCTATATTGATGTGTACTTTGTTTTCATATCAAATAGGTCGTTCAAGGCATGGATTATCACAAACAGACCCTGCTGATTTACATAATCCAGTTTACAATGTTTAGCAGCTCCTTTTGGTATAAATATAACCCTGCTAACATTGCAAAGTATATCAGGATCTTTTGCCGTACATATTCCCTGATATAAAACCAAATGTGTATATAGATTTAGGAATGGTCTATTATAAACTTTGGTGATATGACCATTTCCTTAATCTAAATCATAATGCTACTTGCTTGCTACCAATCAAGCCTTTTCTAATATATATGTATATATGGATTTGTACTTGTACACACTTAAATCCCATAGTTTGTAATTGTATATGCCACTGCTCGCACTGAGTGTAGTGCGCTTTTGCTTCTGAATACTATACTAGCTACTTGTTGCGTTTCAATTAACTCCATGCCAGACATCTAAAAAACTCATAGCACGTTGTTTCTATTTAAAAACTAGACATGGCCTCAACTCAACTACATATTTATGCTACATTTAAATGAACTGGTCCATAGCCGCGGCGTTTTTTCTAGTCCATAGGAATACTGACATATTGTTGGTACCCTATGTTTTCACAAGATTTTTACGGGAAAAAAACATCCACTGGAACATCTTTGCTTCATTGGCTCACGCATAGGAACGATGCAAATGATTGTGTGAAAGGATCAAATCAATGCTTTTGCTAGTGTGCTGATCGACATGTAGGTGGCGTTCCTCTAACAGATGATGTTTTTCTCTATAAATACACGTTGTCACATTGTTAGTTAAACCAATCCTATGATTCCTATTCCTGTGATTTCCTATGCCCATCCAAACACCTACTCATACTAGTTTCCTATTTTTTGCGGTTGCAATCCTAAGAATTTCCTATACATTTCCTATTCATGCGTTTTTCCATTCATGTATTCCAAAGAGCCCTTAAAGATTTAGGAACTCATAAATGTGTTTTCAAAGTTTTTACTGACTTAAGTGTATCCCTCGATAAGTTTAGGTGCCGCTCATGAATTTAACGACTCTTAATTCTTTATTGCACTAGCGTTCATTAAAGATCTTAAATTTATTTGATTTAAGGCGGACCAATCCTAATTAAATACAATAAAATAGCTACCTCATCATTATTATTGGCACGAGTATCGCTAGTGCAAATGCATGGACATTTTGCTAATTAAAGCATATATAGTACTACTACTAGTTAGAGTTAGGAGCGCTGGTAGCTCTAGATTCTCTGTGAGAACTACTCCAAAAGGGTTAAACGGATAAATACACCTAAATTCTACTCCATCCGTCCCTAATAACTGTTGCTTTTTGTTACCGGCCTAAGTTTAACTAGATTTATAGAAAATACGTGTAACATTTGTATCTCCAAATAAATTTATTATGAAAATAGATTCAATGATCTATCTAAAATTATATACCATAAATATTAATATTTTTATATAAAATTAGTCAAAGTTATTTCTCGGAAAACGAGAACGATAGTTATTTAGGGACGGAGAGAGTGGTGGGGATATAACAAGAATGGCTTCTCCATTTACACTATGAGCTAAAAAAGAGCTCCTCATTAAATCACTACCAAAATCACTTCCACCAGCTTCCCACCTTGATTATTCCACCAAAAATTAGTCTAGAGAATAAAGAAGTTGGAGCTAAGAATTACGGAGTGGGGAACTTATCAAACGTACCTTTAACTTATTTAATTACACAAAAAAAAAACTTATTTAATTTAAACTAAAATGTAGTAAAATAACTATTATGATGATTATCTTAAATAAGGCAGATAATGCTAATATGAAATTAGAAGTTTAGAACCCTAACGGGCTAACAATCTAATACACTAATTAAATGACAACCCTGACTAGAAAAATAAAACAACAACATATACCTAAATGAAATTAGAAATCATGCACGAGGCCAAGGGATGAAGTTCAATCGATCTTCTACCTATTAGTATGTATCATGCCAACTACAAATCTTGAAAAGTCTTGGCGACTTGTCGTGGAAGGACGACTAGGATCGGAGACGAGGACAAAGGGCGATCAGGTGAACTGTCGATAGCTAAACTGGCCGGTGGCTGCGAAGGTCGTCGTGCGATGTGCCAATGGTGCGATTATTTCTGATTCGCCGAGCGCGCGCGAGGGCCACTCAAGCTACAACCACGCGTGACGTTTCATTTTCCATTTGTGAGCTACGGGCTATCGTTAAATTAAACTATCAGATATATGGATCTCTAATTTGGTATCAAATATACACACATAGGGGCTGTTAGGTTCGCAGCCCCCACCAGCCACTCAGTTGTGGCGTCGCCCAACACTTGTGGCGGAGAATATGGCCGCCAAACAAACAGGTTGTTTGTTTGTTGGTTTCAGTCAGGGCTTATCAGCCAGCAAATAGTATTTTTCTCTTACGACAAACCAGCACCAGTCCAGCCAAGTAAATTTCTACTGCGAAACAGTGTGGCTGCAGGATCTAAAAGCTGAACCAAACAGCCGCCTTTGCTCTGTGGCGTGCCGCAGCTTTGGCAGGCGAAGTGTGACGGTGAGCCAAACACCCCCATACTACATCGTGTCTGGACTTGAGACCTCTCTGGCTTGGCCCTGGCGGTCATCACCTCTCCCGCCTAGGGCTAGATCGAGCCGGCCCTGGCCCCTGTAGTCCTGTACTACGTGGCAGCTGTAGAGAGAGAGAGAAAGAGCGTGTTTTTGATGCTCAGGACGAGACCCAAAACTGATTGCGCGGATCAGTGCAACGCGACCGTGGGCATCATATCAGCTCGCATTCACTGCTAACTGTACCAGCTCGATTTGATCGCTGACCGCCAGCCGAACTACAAGTATGGAGTTGAATATCATCGAACGGCGCGTAAATCTCGTGCAAAAAGATTTGGTAATCTTTCTTTAGAATAAAGAAGACAAAAACTGTCAGATAGCAGCTAGAGACACGTCTTAATACAACTCCAAGAATTATATACATCAATCTGGATATCCAAATTGGCTCTTCAAAACAATTAGCCTAAGGCACGACGTACGGACCGCGGTGCTGTGTCGTGGTGCAGCACGGCATCTGGCGATGGCGAGCGGTGTCCGTTGTCGACGGCGAAGCGCAGCGCTGCAGCCCTGCGCAGGGTCTGCAGATGGCAAAAGGGGGCTGTGGCTGGCTTGCCTCGATCTCCACTCTCCAACTATTATCTAACGGCTGTACAAATTTCCAGGTCCACCAGCCCACACAGCAGGCCACGCACAGTAGACTAGCACAAAAGATTCTGACAGTTTGCAGGTGAAGCATAAATGACCGACAGCAGCTCACTGTCAAGAATAAAACAAAGTAATATTGCTAAAAACAATACAAATAACTCTATACATTTTTGCAGACGGAAAAAGGAAGACCAGAAAAATTAACGACTCTGCTAACCAAAGCAGATGAAAAAAAGGAAAACGAAAAAGAAAATAAAAAATATGAAAACATACAAAATAAATAAAAAAACTTCTATTAGTTTATGAATTTATATTATTTATACTTTTATATTTTTCTCTTTGGATGGATTCCTATTCATGTATTTAGGATCAAAGGGATCTATTTGGATTAGAGTTATTTGTATTGTTTTTAGCAATATTACTTTGTGTTTATTCTTGACAGTGAGTTGCTGCCGGTCATTTTTGCCAAACTGTCAAAATCTTTTGTGCTAGTCTACTGTGCGTGGCCTGCTGTGTGGGCTGGTGGACATGGGAATCTGTACAGCCGTTAGATAATAGTTGGAGAGTGGAGATCGAGGCAAAGTTACATTATGACTTTGCTTCATAAAGTC